TAAAACTCGAGCGTCACGACATTGCGAAGTGTCTGCTCTTGTTCCTCGTATCGTACTCACTCGAGTCAATCCGAGATGGCCCGAGTGAAGTTTCATGCAAATGTTTCGTACGGAAAAAAAAGTCGCGGCCGGGACGCGAAATTTTTGTCCCTCGTCATTTAAGGCAGAAGTCAACAGAGGGCGCGCTATACTCGGCGCTATACTCATGAATATTCAATCAGTTTCAGTTTCGACACTTTCTGAGTGTGTCACAAGTGGCCAAATCAATACATTCAACCCGCCTATTAAGGATACATTTTTTCCATTGTATCACAAACTAAAGCGGTCTCAAAATAAGAAAAAAATAATAATTCAACATTTTTGACACTTCGGCAATAAACCAGAATTTTCTCTCTTGAATGCTTAGGAGATTGAACATCGGTAGGCCTTTGCCTACCAAAATGTGTTACTTCCTAATCTTGTCAATTTTGAACCCTTTAACCATGTGGATTTCTTTTTCTTTGTTTTTCGTGTACTTTCATATACGATTCTGCCCATCTATGCCATATCAAGCACGGTCATTAAGTCGTTATTCTGTTCATGCACATCCATCCAATAGAACTGAGTATTAAAAAAAGAATATTGGTCTTTAAGATTGCATCATGAAATAATATTGGGGAACAAATAAAAATGAATTTTATTTGCATTAATTGCAAACTATTGCTTTAAATTAGTTCTAATTTAAAACCGTATTCTTATGTCATAAACAATAAAATTATAAAGAATGGTGTCATAAAAGATAAAATTATAAAGAATGGTCATGGTTGTACGTCAGAAGTACCTCATATTAAGGGGACAGTTTCACGGTTTTGTTTTTTTTGTTTTTGTTTTTGTTTTTGTTTTTGTTTTTGTTTTTTGTTTTTTGTTTTTTGTTTTGTTTTGTTTTTTTTTTTTGGGGGGGGGGGTTTTGGTTATTGTTCCCGGAACGAGGTTCCTTTAATTTTATTTAGGGAACACCCTAAGGGGACACTTTTTTGGTCCCGAAAGCGTGCCTTTCTATACTAGTATTTGGAGTGAGCCCTCTAGGCTCAAAACTCGAAGATTTCATTTAAAGTATATGCAATCATCACATGTAAACGTTATGAATGACTCAAGAGTTACTAAGGAAACCGTTTCCAGATAGAATACAATAGCCCCGTCATTTAGCATACAACACACATATCACCCCATGGTGATTACAGAACAATTGGGTTCAAACCTGAGTTCAATTCGCATTTCCGACTGAACGACCTTCAACTTCAAATTAGGCCTACTACCGATTCTTATTTTTCCCTTCTTTTTCTCTCTAAATCAAATTTGATATTTCAATAAAATTGTTGTTAATGCTAAACTATTTTTTTTTACACATTCACGTTTGTACAATATCAATTTATCTTATTACTTATTTATTTTAATTTGCTTTGTCTCATGGACCGAAAACTATTTATTTCAGAAGTCATTTTCTTATAATGAATAATATGTTATGTCTGGCCTTCCAGACTTTGATATATCTCTCAAAGTTACAATTAAAAAATTAAAGCGTATTTATATTCAAGTATTAATAATAAAATACACATTTATTATTATTATTATTATTATTATTTTATTAATTTTTAAAAAATATTATATATCTATCTATCCATACATTATTATTATTATTATTATTATTATTATTTTATTATTATTATAAATTCAATTGTTATTGAACAAGTAGATTTCATCAGAAAAATAGAACGATAACTTTTTGTCAACTAATATACATACCCCTAGTTTTGGTAGCAAATTGAATGATTTTTTATCTCTAAATCTGTAGTGTGCTAAAGACAATTTTCGAATATATTTTTATAATCATGTTCATTGGACCAAATAAATGCTGCGGTAGCAGCGGATTCATTCATTTTACTAAGAAAATTATTTTTGCATTGCTTAATCTTAATAATAAAAAATAAATTAAAAAAAAGGTTTCTAAATTATTATTAATACAAATCATATTATAATTTATTTTTTGAGGATTTATTCTTGATTTTGTTGGTCTGTTGTTAAATCTGCCATTCAAAAATGCATGGTTTGATAGTCCTTCCCAAACATGGAGGACGTATACAATGACATGTTGACGATATCATTGGCTAATAAGCGGAGGCGTGTTCATTTACGTAACTTCATTCTGACCAATCGTATTCCGCCTTCGATTAGGTTTTCGATGTTTTCCAGTTTTAGCCAGTCGCTATCGTGGTCGTGTTGTTTCTGAACTACCAACCAACGCATAAAACACAGGCTACTAGGCCTCCTGTCTGATGTTTCTTTTGGTTGAGTTACTGTAATGTTTTGTATGCGCTAGGCAAGCCTGTATGCTCTAGTATTACTTATCTTCACGTTTTGATAGACATCATAAAGCCTGATAAACGTTGTCTTCATTAAAATGAACATTTCTCTCAAGTATCAGGCTGTAGTGAGCCTGTCTGCCAAGCGCGCGAAGTTTAGGATTTCGAAAGTAGGCTTAGGCCTTCCTAGGTCTGGAACGAGATGTGTCCGCACACTTGAAGTATCTACAGCTAGCCCGTCAACTTGGAAACGATTTCGTTGCTCAGGAAGGGCAATTGACACAATTTATCCCAAACATGATGTCTTTGCTGAAAGGCACATTGGGCCACGGTCGTCTGACATTAACGAGATGCTTCAAACAGTCGGAGCAAAGGTAGGCTAGGCATATGCAGTTTTGGGTTAATAAATAAATTAATGTAGGCCTAGGCTAGCTACCTAGGCCCTTGGCCTTAGGCCTACCTATGTAGGCCTAGGCCCTAGGCCTATCTTATCTAGGGACCTAGGCCTAGGTTATTTTTGTTGGTCTAAATTTTTTTTTTTTTTGGGTGGGGGCCGGGGAGTTACGTTTTTTTAAACAATTAAAAAAAAAATTAATAGGATGATGACAAAAATTGAAGAAAAAAATTAAAAATTGGTCGAAAGGAAGGCAAACTATATTACTTTAAATTCCGAAACTAGGCCTAGGCCAACTAACTAGCCTAGCCGGCCCAATTAATATGTACTTTCAATCATCATAAAGTCTTAATCTATAATCTATTTGTCAGCATATCATTCAATTAGTATTCAACTTAATATCATTTCCTAATGATTCTTGCCTAAGGTAGAGGTATTCTTGAAGGTACAGTAGCCTAAATTTGGTGGCCTGGCATCAGGCTATGGAGAGGTTGGGCCTAGGCTAGGCCCAATGAAACTCTCAGACCTACTTAGTAATATTAATAATTATTTAAGTACTGAATCCTAAATAAATGCAATTTTTCTTATTTTTTCCATTTCCATATCTGTCCATGCAGTTAAAATACTTTACAGTATGACAAATGGTATTTAAGACTTTTTTTTATGATGCTTTTTTGTTTTTAAGGAATCCAAGTGGGATTTGGAACTGTTTAAAATTTTCTGATGATTTTGATTGGTTTTCCATAAACAGTTGTTGTGAATTTGACTCTTATTTTGATTACTATATTATGCTATTAACAGTGGACATGGGCATCACAATTTTTCAAATGGGAATTTCTCTATGCCTACATCTAGGGTATATATTCCATGTGAAGGCCCCATTTGTCAAGTAATATTTGTGTACTAGTGTACAATATTGAGAATTTAAATTCAATAACTAAATACCTAATTAAAAACATATCAATATATTCACGTAATTTACTTAAAAAAGAGTCATTGTTAGGATTGCAAAAGGCATTTTATTTTACATAAGCATTTATCAACTTTAAACGTATAATATTGTTGTCATTTCAACCATCATTCAGTGTGCATCATAGTGTTCTCTCCAGGATTGTTATGCACATTTGAAAATGTTCACCACCATATTCTGTGCACAAGGTGCAGGGTTACAACAATTGCATGTGTAAAAGATGATTTGATAAAGTTCCTGAAGAAAATTGCTGTTGTGCTGTAGAAGCCACATCCGGGAAATCTGCTTAAATGAGCTTCTAGCAAATCTAATTTTATTTTGTTGCGGCACTGAGACAATTGACAATACAGTAAAAGTATGCAAATACAGTAGAACCCTCCTTTGGGACACTCCCTATTAAAGGGACTTTTGTAGTCCCGAAGGTGTCCCCTTAATAGCGGTTCTACTGTATCATTAATTTGCCAGAGATGAGTTTGCTTGTAGGATTGCAGACTCCCGCAAATCCGGAGAAACTTGGAACCCTACAAATCATGCACATCAATAGTGAAATGTGTTGTTATTTAAAAAGAATTATACTTTTTTAATTATTATTTATTTGAAAAAATAATCTATTATTATGCAGTCTCTAGAAGACCTGACTAAATTGGCTGTGCCAGCTAACATCCTACTTGACGGTCCTCTTGCAATCGAACCAGCATTGTGTAAGTAATCCTATCAACCTTCTGTGAAAAAAAGATTTAAAGGCTTTGAAGATCAACTTTGCTAAGCTAGAAAAGTTTATATTTGATGTGTGTTCTTCGTTTATCTGATTTTAAATGTAGAAATCTATTGTAATTTGCATTGAGAATAAATTTTCCTTACAGTATTAACGAAGATAAAATTATTACAAAATTATTTTTAAAACCATTTAAAAAATACTGTATACTGTAGTATTGTTTTAGTAATAATTATTGAATTTGTAAATACTAATCGAACAGTGTAAACACAAATTACAGAATGGGCATAAATATAAGTGTGATTTAAAAAAATGAAAAAAATAAGAAAGTAGAAACAAGGATAGCCTAATATACAGGAGGCTAGTAATAAATAAAATAACCAATAATTTTTAACATGTTTGTTTTTTTTTTATGGATTATGTATTTTTACAGGTGAAAATGAAGCACTTGAAAAACTTAAAACGATGGTTGAACAGAACAAAATTTGGAGAAGTTACATAGGGCTTGGTTATTATAATTGCTTCACTCCTTACACGATACAGAGAAATATATTGGAAAATCCTGGATGGTGAGTATGCTTTTTAGTATCTTACTAGTGATAGATACTGTTCACAGTATTTATGCTGTTACTATAGGTACACATTAGCAGGAGAAAATTAGTTGTGGCTACAGAAATTTTCCAACTGGGGGGGTCCAACAAGTCATACAGGGGAGTCCAAACCAAGGAGCGTCGCCAGGGTTTTCGGAATATAAATCCCTGGTAGCTTTTATGTGGAGTTTTTATGGCTTTCTTAGTTCAGCCCAATATTGAGCTTTTAGTGTTAGACAGACCACAGTATTAGAGGTCGGTAATAAAAATAACGTAATTTGTATATTTGTATTTATGCAAATTAATATTGGTCCTATGACCTTGTTGTGGCGTCAAAGATGGGGTCCAGGCCTGTCTGACCAGGCCTCCCGTTTCCACTGCCACTGGTGAATGTTGATTATTGATGGATTATTCCATCCATTCTTTATTTGTATTAAATATGGTTACCTTACCCTTCAAAGAACTCTGTTTATAGTACCGATAATTGAACCACTTCTTTGGCCCACCTCCTTCATTATTTTTGAATCCCGTTTTTGAATCCCTTATCATAATTCTTATAGATTTCATTTCCTGGACCTGTAAACCCTTTATCCCAATTAAACCCTTCCTTATACCAATTGTGACCTGTTTGCTATCATATTCATCGTTGATTTTAAAGTCTCAGGACGGAATATAGTAAGAAAGTAAAGTCAATAAAAACTAGAGCAGTCACTCCATAGAGTGCATACCTCCACCTAGATTTGCCTTTGTTCATAAGATTCTTAAGGATTTTGTTTTGTTCTCACTCTTTACAATTTTATAATTTTTATGCCAAAGTTTGTTTTTCATTGTCTTTAAAATCAGTGATATATTGTAAATAACATACATAATTGCATAATATTTTCAAATACAAAAATTCTAACACCGTGTATTTTTTTAATGACAAAATGTTTGTTTTACGTGAATAAATAAGCCAGAGTAAACATAATGATGCAAAATGTTTTAAGTTCCTTTTTCCTTTTGTACTACAATATCTAATTCTAAGTTCCAGTTCAAAAAGTTTGTTCATAAATATAATATATTTATAAATGCCTGAAGGTCAACTCTGCTTCCTGTTTTTGTATTTGATCAGGGTCATTATGGTAGTTAATATCAGGCATTATGTATTTGATTTAAAACTTAAAATTGACGAATTATAACCAGATTCAGCACCTACAATATAAAGTGCAAAGTAAGGGAATGTAAAAAAAAATAATCCTCTCCCTACTTAAAAATAAAAATCACCCGACCATTTTTTGCCAAAACTCACAAAAATGTCGTCTTTCTGGCCATAATTCAACTTCAGTTAGGCCTAGGCTTTTTTAGGGTAATTATTTATTCTTTCAGTTGCTTGTTCATATATATTCCACCAGATCAAACGCTACACTGGAAGATCTGGCAAAGTCAGCCACCATTTGCATAGGCCTTGCATTCCATGGTGGATTTGAAGACTTGGCATGTATCAATGGGGTGGTTTCATTACTGATTTTTTTTTTTATTTTTTTTTTTTAAACCTCCCTCCCTACCAATTTTTTTAAAAAAAAAGAGGATAATCAACAACTTTTTTTTCCATGGCTTAAACTATAAAGACAGGTCCAGGCTATCAAATTTCATTTGATAAAAAACCTGTAACATGCCAAAATATGACCATTATAGACACATCATTACTATATATGGGCATACAACAGTTTTTTGTCCAAAATATGACCATATATAGGTACATCATTATTCTATATGGGCATACAACTGTTTTTTGTCCAAAACTCACCTCTTCACTAAAAGTTTTGCTGAATTCCTTTAAGACACTTTTTACCACTATTTTGTTTTTTCCTTCTTTTTCCATTAACTGCTTAGCTAGACACTGCCATCACTTGAGCACCTGTGAGTCATGCATCGGCGGGCTTTACGCCTTAAATTGCCAATAAACGGTGCGGTGTTGGTTTGGTTCGTTTAGGCGTTTTCTTTTTTCTTTGTTAGCCTGGTTTCATGGTTTTTTTTATTCTCTTGTCCGTTTCCTTCCGTTGTTGTGAAGCGCCTCGAGGTTGGTCTAACGGGAGGCGCTATACAAATCGCAAATTATTATTATTATTATTATATATTATTATTATTATATATAAGCACATCATTACTATATATGGGCATACAACAGTTTTTTGTCAAAGAAAATTGGATTGTTTGGACATAGCATAAATATATTGTAAGTCAATCGAAAAAATATTAATACATACTGTAATAAATGTGTGGTTTTATTTTGTATGTATAATTCATTTTTTGATTGACTCTACCATCAGGCATTAGGTAATTTAAATCTACTTCAATTAAATTTTTTGAAACATCTTGTCTATTAACTCAATTCTTTGATGAAAAAATATTAATGCGTACTGTAATAAATGTGTGGTTTCATTTTGTATGCATAATTCATTTTTTGATTGACTCTACCATCCGGCATTAGGTTATTTAAATTTACTTCAATTAATTTTTTTGAAACGTAAAGGCTTATAAAGACTACCACAATGTATTTGACAAAACACATGTGGCATGCCTAATATGTTCATGATGACATCACATCATATGACCATATATAGGCACATCATGACTATATATGGGCATGCAACAATTTTTTGTCAAAGAAAATTTGATAGTCAAGATAGGACTTTAGAAATCAGAGAGAGAGAGAGAGAAGCGGTTTGGCGCTGCAGGTACGGTTTGGTTTCCCAACCCCAAGGTCGGGGTTTCAATCCCTCGCTGTGCATTTCGCTTGTTTCCTTGAGCAAGACACTTTATCTGCATTGCTTCCCTTCACCCAGGAGTATAAATGGATACCTGGTGGGGTTACCTGCTCCTGCGCTGATTACCAGCAACACTTAGCATGTGGACCCAATGACCAGGAAAAAAGAACTTCAGCGGTTCGTAACTGAAAAGAAAGGCGCTATACAAGTAACAAGTAACGTCTTGTCTACCAACTCCATTCAACAAATTTGGTTCATGAATAATTTGTTTTGCATTGGAAAAGAAACTCTATCTTAGTACAATAAACTAATTGAGATGGACATCTTGTGGAAGTGAAAGGAACCAATTGAATATGTTGAACTGTCGTCAGGGAGCCTAAATATGGCTGAATCATCAACAGTTTAACACTTCGTTCTTTAAAAAAATTATACAATTAATTTGGTAAAATGTGCTTCCTTATGATATATGTACAGCATCATATCTGTGCTTGATTTTAGTTTTTCAATTCAAATTGTGTATACCCACTATACAGTATGTAGATGAGGCTTTGTTTTTAAGATTGATTTGTAAATAAAAATAGACAAAAAACAAAATTTAATCTTTTAAATTATTATTTGTCGTACAGTATCATCATTTATTTCCATCTTTTCAAATTTACAAAAATGAACACAACAATACAAATAGACTCTGCACCATTGTTCTGTGTTTTAAATTTAATATTATACTTTAATATTCTTTTTTAATGACTGAAATGCAGGACTACCCAATACACGCCATACCAACCTGAGGTAGCGCAAGGCCGATTGGAATCGCTACTAAATTACCAAACTATGGTGGTGGACCTGACTGGCCTAGAAATAGCCAATGCATCACTATTAGACGAGGGGACAGCTGCAGCAGAGGCAATGGGCCTAGCTTACAGGTACTGTATTTGTTGATGCTTAGGTTGCTTTTGGAACAGTAGGCCTAGGGATTTGTATATTATGTAAACATTATATGTTTTGTTTTTTACTGACTGAGCAACTGGGCTTACCTGTGCAGTATTGCCGCTTAAATTACAAATTTTTCAAGTTCTATTAAATTGACAACTATTTGTGTATGTAAGGCCTTTCCAACCTTCATATGATATTAGTATTATTAATTGTCTGAGAAATCTGTCCTGATTTAAAAAGCAATGAGGCACAGTGGGTACTGTGTACTCTTAAATAAACCATGTAAAGATTACTTACAGTGAAGCCAAGAAGCTTCTTTGTGCATTTTCGAGAGCAGTGCCTTGTAAAAAATGATTTGTGGTGTATGGTGCCTTATGTCGAGAGCAGCCCTCTTTTTTTTTATCATGTTTTTTGATCATTCTTGGTTCTCATATTGGATCTTGGGTGCTTTATATGTGATTGTAGACACAATTATTCCTTTTGGCATCGGATAATACTTGTGTTATATACATAAGTGAGCATATTTAATGTATATCATGGTTCATTTGGTTTTTACAGTATACTAATTGTTGAATTCTCAGGATATGTATAATGTGGGTATATGCAAAAGTTATTTGTTGGAATTTCAGAAATGTCATGAAATGTCAATGTCAAAACACATGGTGTTGCATGTATACACAAATACAAATATTAAAATCTAAAGTGGGACTATAATTTCTAAACTGAAAATTGAAAATTTGAATTCTATATAAATATAAAAATGGGGAAAAACACACTGATTTAATTGTTATCAAAAAAGTGTCATGAAAAACAAATAAGAAGAAAGAAAGGGTCCACTTTCCAAAACCTCTCCATAGGATTAGTGTGTAATATGGTGTAAATCACATGAACGTTTGAAGCAAATTCCTTCTAAAAAAAGACCATTTGGCTGTGTTAATATTTACTTAGTTGAATTTTCTTATTCCAGACATAATAAAAGACGAAAATTTTTCATTGATGACAAGTGCCACCCTCAAACACTGGCTGTTGTTCGCACAAGAGCAGAGTGAGTATTGACCTTCATTAAGTTAAAAAAAAAAAACACCAGATGATCCAGTGGATATTACTCTATGGTCAGTCAAGGAATCTCCAGCTGAATTTATGCCAGCCACTGTGGTGATCCTTTGTATCCCTATTACAATTTTATTTTAGCTAGAGTAATGAAATTCAAGTATGATATGTTGTGCACTAGTTTTTGGAAGACATATAGCTGTTGATCTTTGCACAATAAGGCCAGCCTGCCGCTTTAACACAGTATACTGTCCGTAGAACCTCGAGTACTGTAGATGCCCCATGAGCAAATCTCGAGAAGAAGCCCATCTCGAAAAGAAGCCCCCTCCTCTCTTCACTTTGCAGAAGTAGTCTTGAAAAGTTGCCCTTCTCGAAAAAGAAACCCATGGGCTTATAATCAAGATAATAATATTGGCTTTCAATATTATACTTTCAACCTTACATTCAGACTGTACCAATGTTATGTTTGATGATTATGATAATGTGTCGATATTAATAGTATTTTATTATACCAGCATTGTTAAAATTATTTTAAATAAAATATTAAACAGAATTTTTGAATCCCATAGTTGAAAAATGTTGTATAGTAGCAATTTCAAAATTTATAGCATTCATTTTTAAAAGAAGCCTTTCTTTTTAGTTTGCAAAATTAATTTCAAAAAACCTCTCAAAAAGAAGACCATCTTGGAAAAGAAGCCCATTCAAGGGTACTAATAAAATGAAGCCCAGGGCTTCTATTCAAAGTTGTAGTTGTAGTGTTCTTTGTAAAAGAGTACTCGATTTATGTCCTTTTTGTGCCAACTATTTACCAGTATCGCTAGAAGGCTCCACTGAAAATCAGTTCTTGAACTAAATGTTTTTTATCCTTGGTAAGTTTCAGATTAAACCATTATCTGTCCATATGCAGCATACTGTTGCTTCTTGGTATTTGTGTAGATTATAGTACTAAACATAGAGGATTCCCATTCCAGCTTGTCCCAGAAAATCACCTTATAATATTCAAGGACAATATGAAATAATTGCTTTATAAACTCAGTCTCATTACGAGGCTTGAGATATTATTTAGTAGTGAGGAAAAACCTCTGGTATTTGACTAAGCATCATAAACCACCAAGTTTTTTTTTGTTGAGTTTATAATTATGAGTAATCCATTATGACCAGAAAATCCACAGAAGCAAGTGAAATAAAACTACTAGCAAGTATTGACAAAATACAAATTGTGAGATTCAAAGTTTTCCCATGTTTTGGGTCATACCATTCATTGTTTTGTGTTAGAAAATTTAATTGGCTGGCAATCAAATTGAAAGATGTTCATAGTAAAGCCTCATTCCAGACTACCACAATGTATTTGACAAAAACCATGTGGCATGTCTAAATATGTTCATGATGACATCACATCATATGACCATATATAGGTACATCATGACTATATATGGGCATACAATAATTTTTTGACAATTTGATAGTCAAGATAGGACTTTAGAAGTCAGAATGAGAGAGATAGATAGAAGCGGTTTGGCACAGCGGGTAAGGTTTGGTTTCCCAACCCTGAGGTCGGGGTTTCCATCCCTCGCTGTGCATTTTGCTTGTGTCCTTGAGCAAGACATTTTATCTGCATTGCTTCTCTCCACCCAGGAGTATAAATGGGTATCTGGTGGGGTTACCTGCTCCTGCGCTGATTACCAGCAGCAACACCTAGCATGTGGACCCAATGACCAGGGAAAAAGAACTTCAGCGCTTCGTAACTGAAAAGAAAGGCGCTATACAAATAACAAGTAACTAGTAACAAGATAACCTCTTCGTAATGCCACTCCACTAAACTAAATATTCTTTAAAGCCCCATCCTCGGCAAAATTTCACTAAAAAATAATTTTTTTAGAAAAAATGCATATTTATTTATTATAAACAATGGAAAAATATTGGCATAAATTTTAGTTTTACGCAAAAGAATAAAAAAAAAGTGAGAAATACAGACTATTTCTCATAGGAGATTACCATTTTCTGGACGAATTCTTTGTTACTAGGCAAATTCAGAGGTTGTAGATCGCATCTGCTGGAATGATCTCGCTTTTATGTATACTTTATACAGTCAATAAAGTGTGCCTTCTCTAATGAAATCGGTTTTTGTACTTCGCATACTCGCACACTGCGATCGATCGAGTAGGACGTTTGTTTAATTGTCAAAATCTCGGTCAGAATCGTTTTTTTAACAATTTGAAATAATTCTTATGAAATATTATATTTCACAAGTGTCAATACTAGCATCGGAAAATATCATGTCGGCCGTTTTTATGTGTGATAACAGAACCTAAATCGAGTTAATGCTAGGGCTAGCCTAGCGGTGTTGGATAGGCTAATGTTTTCAGTGCCTACTATACTGTATTTCTTCAGACCTATCGCAAAATCAAACATGAAAAATCCATCCGCATTTATTTTTTGTGTGGAACAAAAAAAATCAAATTTCAGTATTATTTTACATTTTTTTCATGTTTAGGAATGTTGAAATTCAGTTAAGTTAGCAATTTTGTATTACATTTATAAATCTTTATAACATATATAGAAATCAGATTTTTCTTAACAACTGAAATCTGGCCGGGAATGGGGCTTTAAACCCTCCTGCAAATAATCAATAATCAAACATTTGATTTCACAATGCCTTGTCTTCTTTGGGTAAATACAAAACCTGTTTTTAATTCAGTTTTATCTTGACCTTATGGTTTTTAACTTCATTGTGTTTTGTGGTATTTTGATATGTTTACCAGCTTCCCACTGGTTAGCAATATATACTTAGCATTACATCCCGCAGACATAATTATTCTTGTACAGTACTTATCTGCTGGATTGTAAAAATATCTACCCCTTCAAAATATGACAATCACTGTGAAAAGGTTTTTGTTGTTGTTAAAGATTATTTAACAACCTATTGTAGTACAGAAGCAAGGAAGTTTAATGCATTAAATGAGAGTGAACAGGAAATTATTAAATTACAATTTTGTTGAAAAACTCTTGGACAGTAAAATAGCATAATATATATGGTGACAGTCTTTCTTGTAGATCTAAACGATATGTAATGATTGAAACAGTATACTGCTGTAGCAACTCTGTACTCTTCTTAATGTCTAGAGTCTCCTAAACAAAGTGTGTAGACTTTCTCTCAACATTCTTTGAAGTTTTCTTTTGAATAATAAGTAAACTGTCCAGGAGTTTCATGTTGCAGCCAAACTAGTATCAGCCAAATCTGGCACATCATTTTAAAATTAAGAATGGGGACGTCTCTTAGTATAGGCTTACCATGGATTTTTATAAATTGAAATTTGGAAGGTTTACTTGCCATTATGTGTAATTAATTACTTGATTAATTTGTTTATCACAAATTTTACAACTTGTCCAATGGGAAAATTGTACACTTGTTGGTCTTATCTCAGTTGCTAAAGTATATGATCAGTAGTAGGTTATTAGTCTTGGGTCAGAAACCTATAATGTGGACAGTTCATTTTTCTTAATTAACTATCATTACATTTATTTTATTCCTGTCAGCTATATAAACATTAAATAATACAAAATGAAAAGACAACTACAAAGAGACATAAGCGATGAAAAACTACGAGCGTGCCTCTCCAACTCCTACTTCCATATAAACTAAAACAAACAAAAAACTTAAGCCTAACATTGCACACACTCAATATTAATTCTACAATTAAAAAAGGCAGTAAAAACCAACCCAAATTCTTTCACCCGACCCAAAAATAATACCCGTCAATTCAAAATAATCAATTATTTATTTTACAATTAGATGTTAAAAACTATGTTACATTAATATAAAAAATATAACTATAGTTTAAAAAATTACTACTTAGACCTAATAATATTGCACATTAAATAAAGCTAGTCCCAAAGGAAATAAATAACTAAAATTTAAAATTACATCTTACTTACACATGTGTTTAGAACTGCACTAACAAATTGACTTGATTATTTCATAATATTTTTAGAGCTCTTGGTATTGAGGTAATTGAAGTAGACATTAACGACATGGATCTAAGTAACCGCGATATATCAGGAGTGCTCTTCCAATACCCTGGCACTGATGGCAGTATAGTTGACCTCACCCATATGGTTCAAGATGCACATAGCAACGGAGTAAGTTTTCACCTCTGTCACTCTTTATTGGTACTCCCTTAGCATACGTGCTCTCTATCATACCATGATATCAGGGTTTCCAATTCGGATGAAGGCACATCCAGGAGATGTGATTAAATGACCTTTCTTAACTGTAAGACATTTATTTGGGATGAGAGACTGCAGAATGTATTTTATCAATAATTTTATGCTCTAAAGCCGGGCAATTACTGGGTTGTACAATGGTTGTACAACCGTCAGCTGATATTAATAACAATCCGTTTCGTGCGCATTGCACTGTTGCATTTTCCATAGAATTGCGGCGGCCGTCGGATGTAGTGAGTTGCCAAAAACCTGTTTAGAAAATATCCAACATTGTTTATGAGCCAGTCTCCAATCAAGTCATAAATACTACCAGTATTTACATGTTCGTTTCACTAACATTTATTTTGTGTAGGCCCGTAGTACCAGTATAAAAGGTTGAAAAGTGCATGAACTCTGTCTAATTTTTCGAATTATTTTTGTAAGGCGACACTTTTTTTATACCATGTTTTGTGAATATATCTTTTTAAAGGTTGTCAGGGGAGGATGGGAAAAAAAATAAAAATGTTTTCTTATTAATTTTAGCAAATGGTTTTGCCAAAAACATCCAGACAGTAGAGAAAATAAAAATAACATTTTATTGGTGAATGTAAACATTATAGTAATGGTATGATTAAATGATTTAAATAAAATGTATATTTAATTAGGAAGAAATACGCATCTCATATATTTGGGGATTTAAAGGAAGTGGCACACATAATAAAATTAAGGAAAAACTTTTATTGTTTTCTGAAATTTACATTTCTTAGTGGCAGCAGGTGTCCTAATTGACCAAAAATAAAATTTGTTATTCAAAATCATCATTATTGGCAGGCGGTGCGTTCGCTAAACAAGGTATGACATAAGTCTCACCTGAGATGTCAAAACCCTAGATATGATCTTTGTTTTCCTAACATTTTAATTTTATTAATCAAAATCAGTTAATAATACTATTTTTTTTTTTTTTTCTTTTACGTTATTAAATAAGTAAAAATAAGTGGTGGGTTTCCTATTGACGGATGACAGTAGTAAATAATATAATTAAATTAGAAAACTTCTCTGAATTTGTCTTTATAGACATTAGCAATCTGTGCGACTGATCTACTAGCCCTCACAGTACTACGATCTCCAGGGGAGCTAGGTATGGATATCGCTTTAGGCAGCAGTCAGCGTTTTGGCGTACCTTTGGGATATGGCGGACCTCATGCTGCTTTCTTTGCTGTACGAGATAAATTTAAACGAATGATGCCTGGGAGGATGGTAGGTGTAACAAGGTAAGACTTCAGTCAGACTGTTGTTTTTGGAATGATGTGTAAAGCGCCTCTTTATGGCTGCTAGGTAGTCACAGACCACACCCATACACAATTCAGCAGAATGACGCTGCAAGGTATGGGGTTATTCTCTTACCTTTACCCTCAAGCCAGGCTTCACTCAAGCTCATGTTTGACCTGGGTTGACCTAACTTAACAAGCATTGACTTTGCATCACTAACTGTGAGTGTCTAATTTTGGCAACAGCCTACAGTGAGACAGTAGAATCATAGACCAGTATCAAGCCAGGTCAATCCAGAGTCAACCTAGCAATTTTGGCTGAGTTGAGCTGTCTTGGGTGAGAGCAAAAAGTAAACCTAGGCTGGTTCAGATCACAAATTTATCAACCGGGATGAGTCAAGCCTGACTTGACTCTCTAGCCTGACTATAGCTTAAGTATTTTTTGTGAACATCCAACAAGCAAATGACTGACAGCTAGAGATCATTTCATGATTATTATAATTTAATGGTTTGGCCTTGAAACTTACTTTGTATAGCAATTGAATGGTAATCCAACAATCCTGGGTTTAAATCAGATGGGATCAATGTGTTTTTTCCAACCGAAAAACCAGTAATTCATTATAATTGTATTATAGGGTATATACTGTAACTAATGGAGTTTTTTTTTCTTTATCTTACTATTTTATTTAATATATAATTATTTGAAGATTTAATATGTATAATTTATCAATTAGCATTGTGCAATACCTTGAGTAAAACTTATTTTTAATGGGGAAATCCAGGGTATTATACCAGACTGTAGCCTTATGCTAGGAAAAACTGCAATTTCCATATCTTGTTTTACTCACAATCAGTATGTCATTGCTCTAGTGATAAAAAATGTTTTTTTCTTATAGATTTAATTTTTTTTCGTTCCCTTTAAATGTAGGGACTTTGCAGGGAAAAATGCCTTACGATTAGCATTACAAACCAGAGAACAACATATCCGCAGAGATAAGGCAACTAGTAACATATGTACAGCACAGGTAATGCTAATATATTTGTACTTTCATGGCACCCTTCACACAATATGCATAATGAGATTGATAATTACTACCATACCAGATTATACTTTGGCTATTATTGTGTAGTTGTATTATTGATAACCTTGAAAAGGTTAATTAATTTTGAAATGCTGTTTTTCTGCATTTTAAACTTCTCATTCAGAAAACAGCAATATTTAAAATAAAAACCATAATAATTACAAATAATAATAATAATAATAATAATAATAATAATAATAATAATAATAATAATAATAATAATAATAATAATGAAAGATAAACATCAACAGCAACAATATTTTTCTTATGAAATTAATAAAAACAACCTTTTTGGTACTGGGGTCTTTAATTTGTAAGGCCATGTTTTGTGTTTTGCAGTAATGAGGTTGGTAAATTTGCTATCATATACCAGATTATGCTTTGACTAACAAAATAAAAATCTGTTTATTGTGTAGTTGTTATGTTTGATTACCTTGAAAAGCATAGTTAATATTAAAATGCTGATTTTTAAACTGCTCATTTTGAAATTAAATTATTGTTGGTTAAGGGGAATATCTGTTATTTTCCCCTTAACGTCATTGTTTTAATGGTTCTCTAATTTCTCCATTTCCTAAGTTCCCCTTAAGGTAAGTTTTAGTAACATAATAATAATAATAATGATAATGATAATGATAATGATAATAATAATAATAAGGAAACCAATAATAATAAAAATAATAATGAAAGATAAACATCAACAACAATATAATATTGCTATAAAATTAATATAAACAGCCTTTTTGGTGTTGGGATCTTTAATTTGTAAGGCCATGCTTCCAAGAAACACTGCAGTGATCCTGCTAATCTGAATTGGCTTATGGCCAACGCGCTTACCACCACCACCAACACCACCACTAATTTCATCTGCTGTTGTGTAAATACCCCAACATTTAGGCCTATGAGCCATGCTCTTTCGACTATTACATTTTCTTCACTAAAACCATTCGTTTATCTTCGATTAAAAAAGTGCCCCTTGAATTTTCCAATTTCCCATAAGCACCCCTTCAATTTTCATCTATTTCCATAAGCGCCCCCTAAATTTCCACTTGGTTTTCATATGTGCCCCGTTTGAATAAGTGCCCCTCAAAAAGAGTAAAAAAATATTTTAAGCGCCCAGGCGCTTATTCGTGCAAGTACGGTATGTTCAATTTGTTTTTATTGATAACATATCGTCTACTTTGTCTTTTTTACTGCAGTTTGAATGGATTAGTTTTACTCATTATAAGTATACATAATTATGAGATTAATCATTCATGATATGATGTACATTTCTATCTCACGAGTACATAATGATGTAAATATTTACTCTAGCTTACAAAGCACTGTAGAAAAAGGAAGTGGTTTTTGATATTGTCATTAAAAGTGCAAATTAAATGCAGCATTTTATTAATTTGTTATCTTAAAAAACAGTAGTTCAAGTTCATAATTTTTTTTAGAAAACTTTTATTGCAAAAAACATATCTATAACATGTGTTTTTTTTTTAGCTTCACTGGATGAAATACAGCTGGTTTTGTGCTTGAAAACAGTGTAATTTTGTTTGCACTTCATGGAATTTATTTATATACTTTATACTCATAGATTATACAATCCATTCGTTTTTA